TTACCTTCATCTTTTCTAATTTTGTTAAGTCTGTGTTTGTGGAAATATTAAAGCAGATATTTGTAAAGAAAATTTTCACAAATGTCAAGATTTATAAGATTTCGGTTCTAATTATGAATTAATATCTACGTTTGTTCATTCGAGCTTGCAGTAAATATTCCAGAATATTTACGTTTCATTGCCAAGATCATTAATCAGTACATCAGGGTCACATTTACGTGGAGAGAAACTTCAACTGACGTTCACGATAAGGATAAAATCTTTTCCCGTTAACCCTCCAACTATTTTATCATATCACTATGGACAGTTTTGTATTAAATGACCATTTACACAAAGACGAATAGAAAAATATGACATACATTGATTGCAAAATTGTCCATAATGATCAGGCGGGCAGAAGCACTTTGGTTTTTCCTCTGATATGAGACATATACTCCGCCCATAGCACTTGGAACAAAATGGAGAAGACTCCACCGATTGAGTACTTTGAGGTGTAGGTGTAGTCGTTGGCCCTGATGATGATAACAATACCGCCGGGGCCTCATTTGCTTTATATAAGAAGTGAGGCTTGTGGTTAAATATTGACCACTGGGTATGTGATCCGGAAATGATAGCCAAAACTACAATTAAAATTTTTCCTTAATTTAGAAATGCAGTTTTTTAAACATTGGTCCGAATGTAGAATCTTCCCTTCCCTTCCTTTACATGTGTGAATGTGTTCCTTCTCCCTATTTGTGATCGAGATATCTATAAACACAGTTCTTTCTAAACTTCCGATTCCAACTTTGGATCATAATGAGGCTGGCACCTTAGCTGCATCTTGGAACGGGTTGTAGATAGCACAATCCAAACGTTGTTGCGCCAAGCAACCTCATACACATTTGAACATTCTGGAACTTAAGTCCATGCTGCTGATCAAGTGAGGGACCAAATGAGGTCACGAGTGCAGATCTCGCACGCAAATTACAATCAGGAGTCATTGCAGGATCAGGGTGCCCAAAACAGTAGATAATGCCTAAGCTCTGTGTCAAGGCTTATTTCTGTGGCAATTCACTACAGAGCTATTAATCCTTTCAGCTTCAATCATTTATTATGTAAATACCGTGAAGATTATGAGCAGTAAGGGCTAATCGTGTGCAGCGACAGCTATTCGGTTTTGTGTAATTTGGTATAATCACCTCCACACGCATCCAAATAGCTTCTGAAACCTTTAGTGACTTAAATCGGTAATAAAGTACTGAATATTCAGTTCATCAAGGACATGCAATGTAAAATCACAATGTAAGAAGTTTACTCAAATGGGACATGGCATTGTAATGAGAAGAATTGAAGCGATTTATGATATTACTATGGGGTGTGGGGTAGACTTACCACCTCGTGGTGCACCCTAGGCAACGTATAATCATACAGCAAAAAAGTCTATTAACCAGCAGTTGACTTCTCACTTCAAACTACCATCACCCCCCACTGTATATCATATTCAACCCCTATCAGAGTACTCATCTTACCCTTTCTGTGCTTTTGTGTCTGTCTGTTTCTTTTACATCTGTGAATCACTCTTCTATTCTCCCTCCCGAATTCTTCTTATTTTGATGTTCCTCCTCCCCTCTGTGAAGCCTGAAGTCAACTAAAGGGCTAATGATAACTATCAAAACGCCTGCCATTTGTTATAAATAAAATGATATTACTATTAATTGTTACACGACTTTCAAAATAAGTGACTTTGGAAATCACTTCCTATGATCATTAAATTCGCCCAAACTAAATCCATTGATTAGATTTTAATATTTTTATTATTATAATGAGCACATAATTTCGCACAATGGTGACAAATAGAACAGTCACTTTCTTTCAAGCTTTGATGATGATTTAATTTTGAACCAGTCTTTTAATTTCATCTAGTCATTGACTAGTGTTTAGTCAATTTACTGCTTTAATTATTCCTTTGATTTTGCAAGTCTTTCGTTCAAGAGTATTTCTGTCAGAAAACCATATCGCTATACAAGTACAAAAGTGCTTAGAATAGATGTTCATTATCTCATTCGTTTGGATCTAATTCACTTTTTTAGAAAAGTATTCGTAGAAACGAGTTTGTACGTATAAAGGTAGATCATGAGAATAAATACATGATGAGATAAAGAAACAATTGAACTCACTTAGACAAAAGGACAATCCGTTGATAAAGCGCCAATAGATCATCTCAGGCAGCACATAAGCGAAAAGTGGTGTCATTTGTATTGATTACCTGTTGCTTGAGGTGAGACGCTTCTGTAGTTTGTACCACTGCGGAGGAAGGCTCATCTGTGAAATCTGATTGGTTATGCGATAGCGTGCACATTTTTAGATCATGACAGAACGTGTGTGCAGCTGCATAAAGAAAAAAATTTTGGAACTTGCCTTTCTGTAGCTGCCGTCACTATTGTGAAACCAGCAATGTTTTTAAATAAATCTAGCTGATATTTTGAAAACCATTTTTATTTGCGGACGACGAAATGGAATAATTAAGCAGATTTCACCAGATGGATTCAGTTGACCAAATTTCTGATATATGGTATAACGCGTAGGTGGGAAGTGGATATAGATCCTCGAAAATGTAGCTCGAAACGTAACAAGAAATGGAAATTGCTTACCCACCAGCCCATTTATTATTCATTACCATATACCATGAAATGAACTAGGATTAATAAGCTTAACTAAAGCGTTTTTAATGAGAAATATGAACCTTTTGTTTATAAAAATATGAAATGAGATCATAACTGATTCAGGAAGTCAGATCGTGTAAGCCTGATCACATACAAACTGAGTTGCCGTTCGTAGTTTATTTGCTGAAACATTATTTATTCATGTCCATATAGTAACTATGGTAGTACTTACACCTTATGAATACAGTTGACCTAGATAAGGCCAAGTGCTCTGTTACTAAGGCCTGAAAGGTTGTTAAGTTAATAGCTTCAACGGCCAAGTAGGAAAGCACTTCCAAGAATGCGGACCAGAACAAGCTGAAAATAGACAATGTGAAGCTTGTACGCAACAGTCACCATGACAAAATGTTTAGTTATTTCCATTTGTGTAAATTTGAATTAACTTTTATTCTATCCTTCTATCAAGGATACTTTTAGTATCTTTAATGCATTTATTCAATATTACAATGTTCACTAAACACTCTTTACCCGCTGATTATTGACATAATACTTGATGAAAATGTCGTGTTCTCTATTTCTTCGTATAGTCTTCTTACAAGGGTTATTTAGGGCAGACTAAATCTGATCTAACTTGGAATATAATAACACCGGTAATTAGAAGAGCATTCTTAATGATGATTTCGACTATTTTGAATGACAAAAATGAATGCCAGATCAAAGAATAAAATAACGCTATATAAATACTCTCAATGATATTCAAATTTATAAGATAAGTACCCGCTTTTCCAAATCAAGCTCAAAAGCTCTATACTGAGCAAATTATCCAGTGGAAGATATTGTTCGAATGCTTAAAATTGCACTCGATGCTAGACTGAAAAACTATTCGATAGTTTGTCAAAATTAGTACATAAATATATTTAAGTTATTTAAAATTCAATATAACCTATACATTGTCAGTCATTGTCTTTTATTACTTAATGAAACAAATCCCTCGTACGTGTTTTTAATTTTTAAGGAAATACATAGCACATAAAATTTATGGACACGATCGGAATTTAATATTTCTTCAAGTAATCTGATTGTTACAGTCTGTGCAAATTAATTTTGCTATTTGGAGTTTGTTACAATTTAGTACACCTTTCTCATCACGAACAAAGTTAAGCGAATCAATGATTGTCTAGAAAATTGCATGCATTGCTTATAAATTTAGCTAAATTATTTCAATTTTTATTTATACATATAGTGTGAGAAAAATTCAAAGACTATTACTTATTTGTCGGAGATAATTAAACGAAGATAAACATTAGCTTGTGAGGGAAGAACCGAATATTTTGTAAAACTATCAAATATTCTCAGATACCTGTTGATAAAGAGAGAAAAAAGTTAAATTACAATGATATTTTTAGTTCAGGCACTTAATTAACATGGTAATTTAGCGGATTATTTGTTCTGAAAAAGTCTCCAAAAGTTTGAGTCAATTTTTCTTTATAAATTCATTTAGTAATTAAACTATAGATGTTTTAGTTTATTATTCGCTGTTCAAGATAAATCAGGATGTTGTTCTTAGAATACAAAATGATTATAGAGAAAAGAAAGAGCCTTAATGTACGTATGTTTTAAAACGACAGTATTAATAGAAAATTATTTTCGAAAGGATAAAATTTACTAGATCGAAAATATAATTTAATTCTGAAGCATTTCTGGATTAAATTAAAAAATGAGAAGATGATTTTAAGCGAACGTACTGAAGAACGCTTTTATATTATTCGTTAAATCAATGAAGACTTAATTTCTACATGCATGCATTAAACTTATTCAAATCGGTCATTCAATTGTTATTAAACAAACTAACTTGAATTGCACCTATGAAGCAGCATAACTTATGAAAATTTCAAAGAAGTAAATAACTAATTAATTTGTTTTCATCGTTCGCCTAATTCCAGTTGATTTTGAAAGTCCTTCGTACGCGTAAGGTCTGTTTGAAGTAATTGTGAATGAATAACTCACTTTCTAATTTCGTCAATCGTGTTGTAAATACAGTGAAGGTGAATTTACCTGTAGTTTTGCTTGTTTGTGCATTATTTTGAGGTTGTAATAATAGTTTATTCATTCCATTTGACCACATTCAGTTTCATCTTTATTTTATAGGGCCCTTCTAACGCAATGCAATTAACTGCATTTAAACTTCCTAATACGGAAATGTCCCTAACAAATAGGGCATTCATAAACAGCCGAGATTACTCGGACCCTTTGCGCTACAGTACGTTACACACGGGATTTGCCACCTATATTTTTCGTGTTGATCCTTCAGACCGTATCCCTCATGGTAAAATTGGCTTTGGCCTAACACAGGTTTGTGCGGTTTTTTTTCTATTCTCTTCATTTTTTAGAGAGAATGGACAAATATTTCACTTGACCAGACTATCGACCTTGAACCTTGCAAGCTTCCGTCTGATGCCTATCTCAGTTTGGTTCATTTTTCTGTTGAAGTCTTTCGAAAAAAACAGTAGATTCTTTTATTTCTTCTCCAAAAAATCTTTTCTTTCAAGAGCTCCTAAGGAACCCATAAACGCCGATGCGCTATCCAAAGAGGTTTCCCAAAAATTGGCCGATTTACCTCTTACCGTTGGTCAACCACTAATCTTTATGTTGGACCAGCTTACGCTGACGTTTACTGTCAAATCCCTTTCATGTAGGTTTTAAGTTCGATTCTCATTTCTTGTCAACTGGGTGAGTATTTGGACCTCTTTCATGCATACTTGTTTTTTGCTCTTCACCATTTCTAAGCAGTTGGATCTTAGATTTATTTATCTTGTAAAAGTTTTTCTCCATCTCATGACTAAAATTCACAATGATAGGGTTTGTTTTAGTTTTATCTAAAAGTCACAATGAAAGACTTTCGAGATTTTAATATTCTATTCGTAAATAACTTTACAATTCCTTGATTGTTTTCAATGTTACTGTACGTAAGCTTTTCTGACAGAAGATAAATAAGTTTTTTTAGACTTTGTCCCTTGGTTCTTAAAAGGTGATAATCGGATCTGATGAGATCTGGGTACTATGGAGAATGTGGCAGAACCTCGCAATTTACTTCCTGAGTGTTTTGTGTGGTCATTTTTAGTTTGTGCGACGGATTGACACATTGTTATGTTGAGGAAATATCCATTTTCTGTCAAATGAACTTAGAAGCTTGCCCTTTAATTCAATAGATTTGGAGACAACCATCGATTGTCGTAAAGGATCTACGTTTCGGATCCAGTAACAAACTGGTATACAAAGACGAACTCCTGCTGTTTTGACAGCAAACAATTTCACTTGCCTTTCGGTTCAGCGTTGTTAAACAGTTAACTTCACATCCTAATCGATTTTAGTAAGCACTTCTAGTGTAGCTGCAAGGTTGATCATTGACACGTGAGTTTCTGCGAAAACCCTTCAATGGTTAACACCAATGTCTTTGGTCAACCAGACTTTGGAGCAACATTCAAATCTCTATATGTTCGATTTAGATAGTTTAAAGCACAGTTGACATTGGCGGACCGTAAGCACTTGGAGATAAATGTCAGCGACGGCTTTAATAGTCTTGGAGACTTTCAAGACTGATGAAAGAAAAGTAGCGTAAAATATGTGACATGGTCTCTGTCCTTTTCGGAAACGGACGCTCTTACTCTTAAATTTATGGCCATGAATAACATTGAGCAAAGGTTTCCTTCTTCTCATCTGGGCACAAGCTGAATCCAAGCACCTATTAGTTATTTGCACAATTTCCTATTTGGAGATGTGTAATTGGTAACTAAAATATTTAAAAGAAATTTTACTACAGCCTCAACCCTGCCTCGGAACCAAGAACAACCTGATTTTGCACTTCCTGCGAAGGGTCTAAATTTGTACTCAATAGACCAACTTGTTAAGATCTTAATAGGAGGGTGGGGGTTGGGGGGGTGGGGGGGGGGGGGGGGGGGGGGGGGGGGGGTGGAGGCCAATTTTGGCTTTTTCCTGAGGTGCTATAATGAGCCGAATCCCACTTTCTGCCACTGTCGGCTACTCTTATTAGTCATCTAGGGCTTAACTACTACTTTGGTTAGTAAGAAGTGTTTGTCAATTTTATATTTTTAAAAATTTAATAATTGCTTTATTTGAACATAGTACATTTGTCTTTGAATTGTCCAAGCATAATGAAATACCTTTATTGTTTACGTAGTTAAAGATACTTGCTGTGAATGTTATTTAGGCGGTTAAATGTTTTACTCCTTTAGGCATATCGATGGAGAAAGGAGATAAGAAGTGTCAATTTGGTCTCCTCACGGGCAACACAATTATCACTTGGGAACGCGCTCCTGATTCAAATCTCATTCTTGTTGGAAAAGCGGCTCAGGGTAGCGGTTGTGGAATTGGAGGAATGAGCATCATCAATCCCAACTGGGATTTCACCCAAATGGGAATCGGTGGTCTGGACAAGGAGTTTTCCGACATCTTTCGACGCACTTTCGCCTCTCGAATGTTCCCACCGGAGGCTTCTCAACAACTCGGTAAACTCGCTAATGTCTTGTCTATGAGATACTTGTCGTGGCTACTATTCAAATCACTTTAATCTCTAATTTTAATGTCCGTGAACTTTTAAAGTATTTCAGTGAATATTCCATTATCTGTAGAGTAATACCTTTCTGTACTGTTCTAATTCGTTTATGTTCCTGATAGATATTATAAGGCTGTAGCTGACTTTGACTCTTAGATATAGGTAAGGCAGGATTACATTAACTCAAAACATTTGGTCAATTCAAAATGGACTATAAGTCTTATTCGTATCATTGATGTTGATATCCTCAATACCGGTGACACATGATAGTTTTTGACACTTTAATGGCTAAGGTTTGTTCAGTTTGCCTAATCTCTCCTCTTTTTACAATTATAATTTTATTTGATTTCATCGTTTTGTCCTAGTGTCAGGCTTTTAAAAATCAAGTCCCTACGCTACTGGATAGAATTTTTTCATTATCCTCATCTCCTACTAACTAGTCATCTCATTAAAATCCACTCATGAAATTCTTCTAATACATTTAGCTAATAGTGCAGGCTGTAGAATCACCCCCAATTGATCCTATTTTAATAGTACTAATTATCTCACCTTTAAAACTCAAACTTGTTTTAACTTATATTTAACTAAGGCTGTCTTCGGATATTTCATTAATCTCCAAACAGAGAAGTGTAGTCTTTAATACATTGTTAAATGATCTAATTTCGGTTTATACAAATTCGCAAAAAAGCTTACTTTTGGTCCTTCCTCCATCATTTAGTTGGCATAAGATAGTTGTAAGGGTTTATATATATTACGGTAACTGCAAGAATGCTTACCGAGTCCAATTTACGTTACGCAAATTTTCCGAATTTAAGTGAGTAGTCAAATAATCTATATCATTTATGTGGATGAAGCATTTGCTAATCGAGTGGTTTCTCTAGCCAAAACGGTAGTTTAGGCTTAATTATCCTTTTAAGTGCTTATAAAATTGTGTTCTGGGTGGTATTCGCTTTTTTTCTCAACAGGAATGAAACACGTTCGTGGTATTCTCCTTTATGGCCCCCCTGGTACAGGTAAGACGCTGATGGCTCGCCAAATCGGCAAGATGCTCAACGCTCGTGAGCCCAAGATCGTCAACGGCCCATCCATATTGGATAAGTACGTTGGTGAATCGGAGGCCAACATCCGTAAACTCTTTGCCGACGCGGAGGAGGAGGAAAAACGTATGGGAGCACATTCTGCTCTCCATATCATCATCTTTGATGAAATTGATGCCATCTGTAAAACCAGAGGCTCGGTGGTAAGTACTATTTGCTCTTGATTCTATCGAGCATATAATTTTTTTTCTGTTATTATTCTGAACAAAACGATATCATAATTCGCTTAAAACTTACGTCCGGTTCTCCCCTATTGTAATATCCAAAACGGTGGGGGTTCATTTCACAAAGAGAGTTATTAACCAACTTTTTTCCTATACTTGGTGAGATCTAAGTAATTTCAGTTATTTTCTCCCATTTAGTCCATTAGTTATTTTTATCTATTTTAATCCGAGATGAAAATTAAACTGAATATGGTTGGCAGAAAAATGAGGGAGTAATATTGAGCAAATAAAGGTTTCTAAAAGTTCAAAATCCAGGAGCTAGTGTACTCTATTGCTTAGTTGCTCTTGCCAAACAAATGGTTACAAATTTTAGAATTTTCTTTTATGGCCTAATAATTGATATAATAGTTTGCATCGCTTCTTCTGCAAATAAATTTTAATGAACTAAACTACAGCATTCTCAATAAGCAAGTGGCATTTTGTAAGCGAATGTAGTAAAATGGGGTCTCTAAAACAATATATTGTTAAAGTTCATTAAGTATTATTATTAATTAATTTCTGTCGGAGCGGAGGGGGGGGGAGTTTGCAGTTTAAAGGTGTCTCTTTGTATCTTTTTGTTGTGTATTGCACACACTGACGACAGTATATTTGTGATGATCAAATCTTTGGATGAAATGGCGAAATTGATTTAAGATGCTTTAGTACCAGCTAGATTACATATAGGAGTTAGTTTAAAAAAGTCTACTTCAGTTAGATGTTAGAAACAGGGAACGAATGCATTGGCTCGTCTTTCAAGCATTGTTCTCATGATTGCATATGGTCCAGTTATGTCAGCAGATTAGTTTGACCTCGTTAAATTAAGCGACCCACACTCTGAACTCATTTTCCATATTCCCTTTTTAAACTATTTCTAGGGGTCTGGTGCTGGCGTACATGACACAGTAGTCAATCAACTTCTCACTAAACTGGACGGTGTTGATCAACTCAACAATATCCTCGTCATCGGTATGACAAATCGACGTGATATGATTGATGAGGCTCTTCTTCGTCCTGGTCGTCTTGAGGTACTTAATTTACTATTTAAGTAGTTTGTCGCAGGGCAAATTTCACTTCTTCCTCTTCGTCCTAGATGCAACTAGAAATCTCCCTTCCAGATGAGGAAGGCCGTCTTGAAATTCTGAAAATCCACACTGCAAAGATGGCTGCCTCGAAGAAACTTGCTCCAGATGTGAATTTGAAGGAGCTTTCTGCTAAAACTAAGAACTTCAGCGGTGCTGAAATTGAGGGTCTTTGTCGTGCTGCCGCATTCACTGCAATGTATCAACTTGTGAAGGTTTGTCACCGAATTTTCATCTACCACCCTCTTTACTAATGAAGAGGTAGGATTTATTGTCTGGCTTAGCTATCACCTTCCTATTGTGTCATTTTCCTTAAAAAAAGGTGAATGGAGGTTAACTCGTAATTGAGAATGCCATACTGGGATCGTCTACCAATATGGTCCATCGTGAACATAATTACCGCCATCCAAGTATATATAAATAAGACTCAGGTCATTGCACGTCTCTTACTAGCTTCTATGGCTACGTATATTACATTTTAATGCAGTATACCTCCCACCATGATAACTTACTGGAATGCTATTATTAGTCGCGGTGGAGTTTGTTATTGCACCAAGTGCTTACGGTCCGCCAATGTCAACTGTGCTTTAAACTATCTAAATCGAACATATAGAGATTTGAATGTTGCTCCAAAGTCTGGTTGACCAAAGACATTGGTGTTAACCATTGAAGGGTTTTCGCAGAAACTCACGTGTCAATGATCAACCTTGCAGCTACACTAGAAGTGCTTACTAAAATCGATTAGGATGTGAAGTTAACTGTTTAACAACGCTGAACCGAAAGGCAAGTGAAATTGTTTGCTGTCAAAACAGCAGGAGTTCGTCTTTGTATACCAGTTTGTTACTGGATCCGAAACGTAGATCCTTTACGACAATCGATGGTTGTCTCCAAATCTATTGAATTAAAGGGCAAGCTTCTAAGTTCATTTGACAGAAAATGGATATTTCCTCAACATAACAATGTGTCAATCCGTCGCACAAACTAAAATTGACCACACAAAACACTCAGGAAGTAAATTGCGAGGTTCTGCCACATTCTCCATAGTACCTAGATCTCATCAGATCCGATTATCACCTTTTCAGAACCAAGAACATGAGTATTCAACTTCAAATACAGCAAGATTTTTTTCAGTCTATGAAAGATCGCTTTATCTACTTGATGGGAATTTAAGCAATGAAGTCCACTGTTTATATTGCATTGAGTTGTTTTTGTACCTAATAGAATTTTCTGATCTTTAGACTTTTGAGTTTCTCCTTCTTCTTGATTAGAAGTTAATTTGTAGTAAGATTGATTGACTTTGGCGTTTGCTTTTACGAATGATATTTTTCAAAGTGCGTTTGATTTCAACTTTGGCAACTTACATTGAGATCGACTAATATTGTGGTAGCATTTGTCAATTATTTCTGGGAATGGGGCAGAGTACTGCTGTCGCTTACCTATTGGGTATGAACTTGTTGCTATTGCTCTTATTAGTACACTCTTGCTATTATTACGTTACTATTATTAATCCACATTTTTTGGAAATTCGTCCATTAATTAAAGTCGGACTTTTACTATGCATTCTATGCAACTTGAGTTTTCCCGGCCGATCGCGCTACAATCGTGCAGCTCTGAAGGTTTCTTTTCAATGGTCACCTTTTGATTTTTGCCCTTGATTAAAAGAATAGAGTTTTTTGAAGTTGGGCTAATCAGTTAAACAGGACTGTATCTTGCATTATGAGCTGTATTCTACTGGTTAAGTTCATTGTCTATTCAATAGTTGACCTTCGTGGTAAACGTTTTTGGCGCTTGGGTTTACCTTCGTTTGATTGAAATCCCAAATGAGAGATGGTCAATAAAGAAGTTATTGCTTTGATAGGTTTATTTGGTTTGTAATTGTGCAAGTGTTTGCCAAATCCTACGTATATGATACCTAATTGTTACTGGTTAGGGAATAGATATTTGAGCCTATCGGAATTCAATTTCCATTGAAAAGAAACTCGCCTAGAATTAGAGGTGTACACTCTCTGCGCTCCAATGCCCAGGCACTGAATGCTGTGAAGCTGCTATTCGATGCCATAACAACCTATTTATTCTGCACTTCCATGAACGGTAGTTTAAATTTAAATTAAAATCTGAAATTGGCCGGTTGCTATAACAACCATCTATTCATGTTCGATGAGCATATTCTCAAGTTCTGTGGTTTTATCCATTTTTACCATTATTCAAGTTGTTTAAATTTAGTTTTTTTTCTGATTCTATAATTCCATTTTTTCCAGAATCAATCGGAGTTACTTAATTTTTATAAACAAAGATCTTAATTTTGAATATGGTTTATTAATATTTCTCATGACGAGAAATGGTTAAGTGATTAGTTCCAATACAATACAATGAAGTCGAACCCTTAGATTAACCTGAGTCTGAAATCATTTTGTCCATTTTACGTTGTCACAATGTTCAGAAATTCTAATTTCAAATTTTGCCTTAAAGATTCCTGAGTTAGTGCTCATTTCTGTGATATCTAGAGTTTATTGAAAAATTGATTAAGTTAAGTGGCCATACAACTTCAATAAATTTTGTATTCCACCATAATTTTGCCATCTTACTCGTGGCTTATATTTTGATATATTAACTCGATAATATTGCTTACATCTTAAAGTTAACAACAAAATAAACATTATTTTAGTGTTCTTAGTCAATTTAAGATAGCTACTAAGTGTACAACTCCATTCTCAGGTTTGTTTATGAAGGATTAGTTTTGCTGCTAATTGTACGAATCTAGTCGTTTATAACACAATTGAAATGTCTTTCGAATGGCTATTAACAAGCCAGTTGAATCTACTTTTTAGCCCTCCGGAAAGCAGAAGATTGATCCGGACGCCTTCGACAAACTTCTTGTTAAGAGAGCTGACTTTATGTATGCTCTGGAAAATGACGTCAAGCCTGTAAGTCCGTCGTGCATCCTGTGTTAGCTGCAGTTTTTTCATTTCTTTTCGTATATATAAATTTCCGAATTTTGAACGGTTTATTTTAGCTCTAAAATATCATCTTGAATTCTATACCTGTCTGTAAATTAATAGTTGTTGGTTTAGATTATTTCTTCATAAATAATTCAGGAATAAGTATTTGCTATACTTGATGTGTCACTAATCATCACCTCTCGATTTGCTAGGAATAGTCTAACCCATCAGAAAAATAGGCCATAGAGTGGTACTAGTAGCCCGTTTAACTTTTGTTTGTTTAAATTAGAGAAGACAAATTGCCAATGCGCCAACCATTTTACGCACCACAATTGAATGGGCGTATTCACTTATCCTCTCAGTTTAGCGGTCTGGCTTGAGTTAATTTAGTCATTTTAGGCCTTCGAAAGTAATTAAATGTATATCTTAAAATTCTTTGTAGAAAATAGTTTACTCTTTTTCCTTTTAATGGAATTGTATCAATGATGAGCATACAGCAGAGTTTGGGAGGTATCATTCACTAAGTTTCCTCTTCTTGTAGGCCTTTGGCACCGCAGAGGAAGAGCTAGCTTACTATGCTCCTCGAGGTCTCATGATTTGGGGTGAGCCAGTAACCCGTGCTCTCGCAATGGGCGATCTGGCCGTCAAAGCAGTGGGTGGTGGTTCTGCAGTCTCCGACAAAGCCAGCCAGATACAACTGCCCCCCGAGACCCATCGACCCGTTACATTGCTTCTCGAAGGTGCTCCCAAAGCCGGCAAAACTGCTTTGGCTGTGGAAATCGCCAAAAGATCCGGCTTCCCATTTGTGAAAATTGTCACTAATCATAAGATGATTGGATACACCGAAACGGCCAAGTGTATGGCTATCAAGAAGGTGAAATCTTATTGCCAAATCTTGTTTTAATTACCAGTAGTTTTGTCTATTATGTATTTGACGCTTTCCTTTATAATTTCCTATTTGTCCCATTCGAAGTCAAAACCGCTTCATTAAGAAAGGTATTTTTTCGTCGCTAAACGGGGTTTCCTCTATGTTGGATAATTAGATTTTCTTCACTTTTGGCAACAATAATATATTTTAAAACCTCACTAAGAATCTTTTTGCTGCTTGAAATATTTATTTATTTTGGGGGGGGGGGGGGGGGGG